AGATTTTGTGTGAAAAAAAGTTCGTCCCAATTCCCCTGATATCTGTGATCTTCCATGCAATCGCCCTGTCGTGACGCCTTAAGACCCCAATTAATTCCGCCTTCTGCTCCGGTGTAAGATTGGCGTTGACGATGACTGGAAGCTTTCCATCATCCCTCAAAAAGGCATATTCGAGGTGAGGAGGCAGCGGCTTCAATTCCAACTCGGGGGGTTCCTCCAAAGAGGTAGGGATTTTTGGCATTGAGGGTAAGGCCTCCACTTTTTGATCTTGCGGGGGTTGGTTCCCAATCTCCGGGGAGTCCAGGGCGTTCGTTCCTACCAAACAACACTCTTCAAAAAGTTCACAAGTAAGGGCACCCGCGGATGCGAGTGCCTCCATGAAGTCAAAAACCTCCTTCGCAGTAATCAAAATCATCATGGCAACGAGACAACTGCATGTTGTCATCAATAGAGAATGTAACCTCCTCCTCTCCTGCCCTAAGCACCAACCCCCCCCCCCCCCATGCACATCAATCAAAGCTTTGGAGGTGGCTAAGAAAGGTCTAACCAAGATGAGGGGGACCTCAACATTCTCATCAATGTCTAATATAACAAAGTCAACGGGATAAATGAGAGGTCCTACTTTAATGAGCAAGTCCTCCACAACACCTTTAGGTCGTACTATAGACCTATCTGCCAATTGAATGTTCATCCTAGTGGCTCTAAGCTCTCCTAGTTCTTGCTTTTGAAACAAGTTATATGGCATCACATTAATGCTAGCTCCTAGATCCACCAAAGACTTCCCTATGCACATGTTACCAATAAAGCAAGGGATAGTGAAACTCCCTAGATCTTTGCGCTTCGTAGGCAAGTGGTTCTGCAGCATGGCAGAGCATTCTTCATTCAAGCGCCACCGTAGCTACCCCTTCTATCTTTTTCTTGTTCGTGAGGAGGTCTCTCAAGTAATTTTCGTACTTTGGCATTTGGGTAATGGCCTCCATGAAGGAGATGTTTAAATGCAACTGGTTCATCAACTCCATAAAGTGGGCAAACTCCGCTGCCATGCGGTCATTGCGGAGTCGCGAAGGAAAGGGGAGATTTGGGGTTTCCTTTCCCTCCTCTCACTCCGGTTTAGGGGTCCGAGAGTTGGGGTTGCCTTCGCCTTCACTTGTGGCTTTCGGTTGTGCGGGGAAGCTGCCGTCCACTTGTTGCTCCTTTGTTGCTAGCGTTTTCTTCTTTGGGGGTAACTCTTTGGCCTCTCTTCCACTTCGAAGAGTAACCGCCCCTACTTCTACTTCGTTGGCAGACTTCCAAGAACGAGCCGCTTGTGAGATAATCCCTATGCTTGTGGCCAGTCTAGTCAGGTGGGTTTGCTGGCTCTCCAACCCCGCCTCGATGTCCGAGAACTTCTTTGTTGTCTCCCCAATGAACCTGTCGATTCTTTCAAACTTTTTGGAGCTGGAGGTGACAAAGGTCATCACTACCTCCTCAAGGCGGGTCATCCGGTCATCATGCACTGTGGCGATTGAGTATACTTGGTCGCATGGAGCCGATTCATAACTCACCATGTGACACTCTACTTCATCATGGTCCCAACTTGAACCCCACTTCATGAGTGTCACTACTCCATTTCCTTGCCCCTCACCTTCAAGAATTACCTCGATCAACTTATCTAGCTTCGCTTCAAGTGGAGCCATATAGTATCCCATTGTCCTCGGGGCTTTCTCTTCTCTTTGGTTTCTCGCCATTTCTACTCCAACGACAGGTTCACCTTCCTCTTCTTCAACTTCTACTCCACTAACACCAGGACCAAATTGTTGTCCCCTTTCTTCACTTCTTCTCCTTGCCTCCGCTAGCTCCCTCTCCCGTGCTAGGAGTCGGAGAGTTCGGTTTATGTCCTCGTCACGGGGTAGCAAAGGTGTCGGATTACTCCGGGTCATGCACCTTCTACACACAATCGGAAAACAACACCAAGTCTAGCACAAGCAAAGTACACACACTTTCAAAACTGGAAATTAAAAGCTAGATTAACACCAAACAACTTTTTCAATATAACAGACTGTTGTCCCCGGCAACGGCGCCAAAAGCTTGACTCGTCCCGAATATCACAATTAATTCCCGCCTAAGGTCTAAGTATAAACCTTAGTCGGGTGCAATACAGGGCAAGTATGTTTGAATATCGACTCGGGTCGTTCCGTGTACCCCTACTTCAGTCATTTGAATCATTATGTAGCAAATCGGTTTTGGTTGAAAAGTTTGCTAATTAAAATAAAGCATGGCAAAAGTAAATGGTTTTGAAAGCTCTTTGTGAGAAGGATCACTCGGGTTTCGCTTCCCCCTAACTACTACCATGGTATGTAAATCAAAGTGATTGATATGGGAAAGGTGACCGCGAACCGTTAGGGGACGGAAATATGGTCGTAGACCACACTCTCGATTTCCAAACCGAGGAATACATTATAGGCTCTTTAAAGGCCCTCTCGGTTATGGCAATCGATGGTTGACTTACTCCCTCTCTCAACCCAATAGTTGGTCGGCTTAATCGTGCTTAACCAAATTGCTTAATTCAACATGGAGGCTTTCCCTAAATTAACCTAGTTAGGTGGCTTAGAAATCCCTAGGAATCCCAACTCAATTGAGCGCCCCTTGAAGAGGGTCTTCCCTCTCTAATCTAGGTTAAAATGGCCAATTAGATTGCTAAGCACAAACATGCACAATCAACATGAAAAATACCTCAATCATTTAATTAAACAACACCCATAAACAATCATTCAATTCACATAACAAAAACTACATGGTAGATAGCTAGGGTTTCACAACACCCAAGTGAAAAAGGAAACTACTCCATACTGGAAATAGGAGAAACACAAGAGGAAGAGGTAGAAACCATCAAGGAAATTCTTCCAATCTTCATTGAGCTTGCGCTGAACCACTCTTGGGGAGAATCTTCCCAATTCACCACTTGTATCAAACCCTAGCCTTCTTCCTTCCTCGGTTCGTTCTTTCTCTCTCTAAAATCTGAAGAAGGCACTTTTTCACTCTTGGGCTCTCCCTTTTCTCTTCCTTTCAGCTCTCCTCTTAAACAGGGATCGGGCTCAGTTCACGACCTCAGTTTACGGCCGTGAACTCTTGAACGCGTCCGTGAACACAAGGTTGGCGTCGAAACGCACCGCTTCGCTTGCACGGGTTCACGGGCAACAGCTCCAGTCCACGGTCTTAGTGACCGTGAACTCACTTCGCGTAAGGAAATTAAGATTTGGCCCTGGACGCATGGGAGTTCACGGGCAATAGCTCCTCTTCACGGTCTTAGCAGACCGTGAACATCCATGAGAAACCGTGAACTGCCGGGTTTTCACCTCTTCTCCCTGATTTCGCTCCTTTTCGTCCAGCTTTCGACTCTGGGGGCTGGTTTCACCTTTTAAATCCTGAAACAAGCTAAAACACAAGAAACCTCGCGTAAAACCACCCTTTTAGGAGAACAATTGCCACAAACGCCTAAGGAAAATGGGGGTAAAATATGTACAATTAGACCCGAGAATCACTTAGTAGCAGATATTGAAAGGAGTTTAGTGGAGTATCTGAGATGGCAAGCCAACTAGCTTTTGGGATGCAGTCTGGTTGGATAATGGAGTGCGCGTGGCAGATTATATGACAAAGTTATTTGCTTGAGTAACTATTGGGCAAACAAGTCTCCATTTTTTTCCCCTTGACTCAAGTGAGTAAGACTGGTCGCTCTTTTTTTTATGAAGGTTATAAACTATATTAAAGGAATCAAAGTCAGAAAGAAAAGAATACAGAAGGAAGCCGGAGAGTATGAGATGTTCAGGGGCTTGAGGTAAATGGAAATTTTACCATACGTTCAACATATTCGGTGGTGGCCTCTTTAGAGGAGGCTGCACAACTCGAGGCTTGAGGTGATCGGATGGAATTGCATATGTCATTTCCTTTGGTTAGTCAGGCATCGACGCATGATGTCTAACTGCTAATGACATGATCGTTTATAGGACACATTTAAACATTGTCATCAGTGTGAGGCAATGTAGTCAAAATCGCGCTTTAAAACTTAAAAACTTACGATTTTACGTTTCTAGGTCATTAAAGCCCTTCTACACAAAATCTTAGTTTTTATAACTTATGTAGTTAAAAACTAAGCTTTAAAACTTAAAAACTTACGATTTTACGCTTCTAGATCACCAAAACGTTTCTACGTAGAAACTCGCTTTTGACTACATTGGTGTCAGGGTGTAGTGTAGTCTATGGATCATGCTTGTCACGATTTCCCATATGCACAAGAAGTGTGGTGTGGTGTGATGTTATCCCCCATCTCAACGAGATGACATTCTCATGTACCCTTTCCGGATTAGTTCACTCTCTGTATCTCATAGCCATCCCTACAAATCAAATTTGGGGTAGCCTGATGGTTTCTTTATCAAGGATGGTGGGAGCCCCAAAGGATACTATCACAGCCACAAGGAAGCTAGAAATTGGGATAGTGGTGTGACGTCAAGACATAGACGTGGAATGAAGACCGAGACCCCAAGGTTGGGTCACAGTTAAATCATATGGTTCTTTAATACCATCAACCCGGTATGTAGCAGCCGCGGAGAGGTGCGAGATTGGCAGGGTCGCTTATTATGGACCTACACCTTCAATCTGGGAACTTGTTGCATCACTTGCGTAGAGCTATGAGGTGCCATTGAGGGTCTCGAATCGAGATGGAAGGTTGGATATTGGAGTGTGGCCCTGCAAATGGATTCGATAGCAACATTATTCATCTTACAAGCGACATAGGAGTAGTCCCATCAGCACGCGATTCTAGTGCTTCAATTTCATGGTCTCCTGCAAATAGACTTCTCATCTCGCCTCTCCCACATGTTTAGTGAGAGTAATTCTTTGGCCGACTGTTTGGCTCATAGGAGTTTCTCAATTCTCTTTGGGGTTTGTGTTTGTGCCTATTTATGATCATGAGATTCATCTGTGAGTAATGTATACAATATAATGGGCGCTTCTCTATCCCACAACATTAATATCACGAGGTAGCAATGCTTTGCATCCTTTTTAAATTAAAAAAAGTTGAACTCACGTCTACCGGTATCTGGCCCAAGCCCTAAGCACACAATTCAAACTTAGCCACACCCATCTCCTCCCTCCTTCCCCTCGTCCAAAAGAAGATTTTCAATTCGAAAGATACGCCTAAAATTCCATCTCGTCCTAGTTGGCGCTCGCAAACGAACCGTGATCACTCAATAACTGAAGCAGCAGCCACAACGATGATGATAAGTGGGGCCCTCCCTTGTGACAGAAGCCGTTACCCACCCCACACTCTGCTGCCCCTCCTCACTCAACACAGGATATCCTCGCCGCCGCTGCAACCAAGCAGCTCAGCCAATCATTCAGGACGAACCAAAAAATCTCAATCTTAAGCCATGGCGACGACGGCGGCGGCAGCAGCAGCAGCGGCGTCACCTCACCTTCTCTCCTCAGCTTCCCGCTCGCTTTCCCCTTTCCAAGTATGCGTCCTCGATTCCAAGTCCCTCGTTTCCGCTTCTTCCTTCCACAGTGGCGCCAGGAAGAGGACCGTCGGCGGCGGCTCTGGGTTCCGATGCACCGCCGTCGGCACCGTGCCGTCCGCGGCGGAGACGAAGAAGAGGAGCAGCTACGAGATCGTGACGCTCACCACCTGGCTGCTGCAGCAGGAGCAGGCCGGGGTCATCGACGCCGAGCTCACCATTGTGCTCTCCAGCATCTCCATGGCGTGTAAGCAGATCGCTTCTTTGGTTCAGAGATCCGGCATTTCTAACCTCACCGGCGTTCAGGGCGCCGTCAATGTCCAGGGCGAGGACCAGAAGAAGCTCGACGTTGTCTCCAATGAGGTCCGTCCGTCGAGCAAACACAAAATTGAAAAACAAAAGGAATCTGAAATTCGGTTGCCGTGAAAGGTGTTTGATAACAACATAAATTGACTGGCAGGTTTTCTCCAATTGCTTGAGGTCGAGCGGCCGGACCGGAATCATAGCCTCGGAGGAAGAGGACGTGCCAGTTGCGGTGGAGGAGAGCTACTCCGGAAACTACATAGTGGTTTTCGACCCGCTCGATGGATCCTCCAACATCGACGCCGCCGTCTCCACCGGCTCAATCTTCGGCATCTACAGCCCCAACGACGAGTGCCTTGCCGACATCGGAGACGACCCCAATGTAAGAAAAAACTCTTACTTTGAAAGTAAAACCCTCTGCGCAATGATTGCACAAATTTAACCAATTGGGAATTTGGGGGCGAATCCTGCAGCTTGACACTCAGGAACAGAGATGCGTCGTCAGCGTGTGCCAGCCGGGGAGCAACCTCCTCGCCGCCGGCTACTGCATGTACTCCAGCTCGGTCATCTTCGTTGTCACGATCGGGAAGGGGGTATTCGCCTTCAATTTGGACCCAATGTACGGCGAATTCGTGTTGACCCAAGAGAACATTCAGATCCCCAAAGCTGGCAAGATTTACTCCTTCAACGAAGGCAACTACCAGATGTGGGATGATAAGCTCAAGAAGTACATCGACGACCTCAAGGACCCTGGTCCTTCCTTGAAGCCTTACTCTGCTCGCTACATTGGAAGCTTGGTCGGTGACTTCCATCGGACCTTGCTGTATGGTGGCATTTATGGGTACCCGAGGGACAAGAAGAGCAAGAACGGCAAGTTGAGGCTGTTGTACGAATGTGCTCCGATGAGCTTCATAGTTGAACAGGCCGGTGGCAAAGGTTCCGATGGCCATGGCAGAGTTCTAGATATCCAACCAACTGAGGTGAGCCAAAAACGTTCAGACAGTATAGGAATTTTTGTTGCTCTTGTTGTGAGAAATTTTATGGTTCTGAATTCTGATTTGATGATGAACTATGTTGGATTTTGGTGCTACAGATCCATCAACGTGTGCCGCTATACATTGGGAGCGTGGAGGAAGTGGAGAAGTTGGAGAAGTATTTAGCATGATTTCGATGTAAATGCAAAGAGCTTCACTTTTGTTTAATGGAGCTGTCATGAATCAATGGCAGAATTGCAAGGTGTGCAAATTACGGGTAAATAGATCCACAGTACAACCAGTTCACTTAATGAGTATGGATAAGTCATAAACGTTCACTATACATAATACCCTGCTGCTTACACTATGAATATGGCCCTCTTAAATCTGAGGATACATTCATACCCTAATAATAGGTACATCAGATAGAAACTTACAGTCAGTAGCCAAGTCAAGAATATGAATGATTAGCCTGTTGCTAGACAAATTGAAGCACCATCACAGTTCTAGATCAATGAAGATGGTTAACAAGGTTCTGCATTCTGCAGCAAGTTCTCTGTACTAGTTGGTAGTCAGCTTCTGGGTCATTTCAATCCTTCACAATCAAAGCTGCAATCATGCTACTTCTGAGAACCCATTCGACCCTTGTGCTGCAAATCAAGGAAAGACTGTAAGAAACATCGAGTTGCAAGCAGAGATAGTTCAGCATAAGAACTTTCAAGCCTAAATTAGGTCTTTACCAGGGCACAATATCTTTATTGATTTTGTGACGGATTGCACCGCAGTCACGGCATCAGAACAACCTGAAAATCGCACATTCGATTATGTTCTATTAATGAAAGAAAGAACGTAATGAAGTATTCAAGATCTACATTTGATGAATTAGAAGAAGAACCTTGCATATCATTTCCTGATATCACCTCTGTAACAGAGGAGCAGAACTCAGAAAACACTTGATCTACCCCTGCATTCCCATCTTGTGATGTCCTGTTGAGCATGATCGCATCAGATAAGAAAAAGAAACAGATAATTAAAGAGGGAGAAGATAGAAATTAGGTTCTGAGAAATTTACCCAGAAGCTGAATCTGTAGAAGAAGCAGAGGTTGGTTCACAAGGGCAGGAGGCAAATCCCTCCAGTCCAAAATCCAGATCACTCATCAGATCGCTGAAGGAGAAATTTGGTCCAAAAATATTAGGTAAATCAAGGCCAAACACATTCTCATCCTTATCAGGCTCGGGCGTGGAAGTCCCATCATCGACTCTGATCTTATCCACACTCACTACTATCTCATCTGAGCAACCAAAGTCCAGCCTTCCCTTCACGCAGTCCCTCTTTCCAGATCTCTTGGCCCCAGGTTTTAGTGGAGAAGAAATGCGACGGTTTCTCTCCACAGTGTAAGATATGTGCTTGCAAGGACTAACCATGACCCTCTCCGATGTAATCACAGTGCAGCCTGTTGGAGTTGTATTCTTAGAAGCATTTGGGGCCTTCAGGACTTTAGTTGAAGCTGAAACTCCTCTCTTTCTCGTGGCTGGGAGATTAGTAACCGGTGTAGAAAGCTTGATGTTCGAAACCGTGGGAATAGGAACCATGTTTGGTGATTTGATCGTATTACCACCTGTTCCAAGAGCACAAATCCTAGTTTCCATCAACAACAATGACCACCATTCCACCACAGACATGAAAATTGAAATTAACCACTAAGCAAGTTTCAGTTCAATGAGCCGTTCATTTGAGTGAAATCATCCATGTGAATAGGAATCAATAATGCATAGGAGGAGGATGGTGAAAACGGTTCTCACCTGGAGGAGGGTGAGGGATTACTGCGACCTGTTTGGATGCAGAAGCCTGCTGGATCACCGGGACTGCAGTTGGAACTGCTGGGCTAGAACCATTTGACATAGGGCGCTTCTCTTAACGAAAAAAATAGGGAGTTGCTAAAGGTCGCCCTTAAAATTGTTAAAGGTCGCCCTATAAAGTATCAAAGTTACACTTTTAACCCCCTTAGCTTCTTTACCTTCCCTTCCTCAAACAAACATCACTTGGACTAAAAAAACACTATCTAAGGAGAGAAAAATCCATCATCGTCATTTTGAAGCCGATATCGTTGATATGACGTTTGAATCATGAGTAGCGACTCCGACGAGTTAAGAACATTAATTGAAAAAAAAACACAGAAAATGGGAACCGCGGGTCACTTGCGGTTCGACCATGGTCCAACCGCAGGTCAGTTGCGGTCCGGCCATGGTCCAACCGCTGGTCAGTTGCGGTCCGGCCATGGTCCAACCGCAGGTCACTTGCGGTTCAACATTTTATGGTTTTTTTTCAAATCAGTATTTTCTATTTTTTATATGATTTATTATTTGTTCCATGAGATAATTTGTTGGGTTTTGATTTATATAATTTTCTAGATTTATTTGCATAATTATTTTTGGAATTGAAGGATTTAGCATTAGAAATTAAGATTAGATTTGGCCTTAAATTAAGATTAGAATTTGCATTACAAATTAAGATTAAATTTATTGCATAAATAATAGATTCGCATATGAAGTTATGATGATTATTAAATTTAATATAGTTATGAAATTTTAAATTTATCATATGGTACTCGTTAAATTGACGATATAGAATGTTAAGTTTTTTTTAAATTTTGTGGGGTATCACTTATAAATTCTGATAACATTGCAGGATATTGGAAGTTACAATCCGGATGGCCATGATTACACCTCGGATTTTATTGATGGCGTGAAATACACTACGGAGTTGCAAGCATATGAAGAAGCTACTGAGATTGCCAAGGGTTTTGGGTTTTATTTGGTGAGGGAATCGAACAAAAAAAATAAGAGTGAAGGTACTTGGCGACATTACTTACATTGCACTCATGGTAGGAAGAAGAAGTCGAAGGAACCTGATCCGAGTAAGGAAAGGAGGCCTCTTACATCTACTAAAAAGTTGGGGTGCGAGTTTCAGGTCAAGCTTGAGCGGTCAGGTGATGGATATTGGTTGATCCTAGGGGTGGCAAATACAAAGAATCCTGGTGCTAATTTGGGTTTCCACAATCATCAGTTGGAGCTATTTTCGGAGGGATCAAAGGGAAGGAATGTTTTGACTACAGAGGATAAGCAATACATTAGAGAGCTGAGATCAGCCGGTGTCCCACCAAGGAATATCCACAAGGCAGTGAATGAGAGAAAAGGTGCAAATGGAACACACAACAGAAAGCAGATTTATAACGAGTTGCAAAAGATAAGGAAAGAAGAGCTTGGTCAGATGACAGCCTTACAGTATACTTTCCGCGTGGCGCAGGAGAAGGGTTACTATGTGCAGTATATGGACGATCATAACGTGCTTACACACTTGTTCCTAGCCCACCGCGAGTCAATAGTGATGTTGCGAGCTTGGCACCATGTGATCGTGATAGATGCAACATACAAGACCAATAAGTATGATATGCCTTGGGTTGAGTTTGTCGGCATGACACCAGTGGGATTGAACTTTGTCATTGCATCTGCAATAGTGTACGACGAGACGAAGGAGTCGTACCAGTGGCTTCTGATGCATTTGCAACATCTTCTTGGCCCCATTGTTCCATATGTGTTTGTCAGTGACAAGGCAGGAGGATTGGTTGAGACCGTGGGGGTAATGTTTCCATCATCGACTCATATATTATGTCTTTGGCATATGGATAGTAATGTAGGAGTACTAGTAGTACCTCGACTAAGAGACAACTGCCCCACAGTATGGTGGCCGTCAGGACGCACTACATCCGCCTTCTTCTTCTTCCTTCTAACCTTAGGTGGATTTTTTTCTTCATTTTCCTTCCTACCAGTCGTCGTAAGTCTACAAGCACGACCTTCCATTCTCTCCTTATTTCTCGCCTTAATCATATCCGGTTTACCCATTCCATGTCCAGACATCTTCAAAAAAAGTTTGAATTATTAATAATATAGTACATAAAGTAATTAATTTAAGATTTTCATAACTAAAATTATAAAAATAATAGTTTCAACATTTATGTTACGTTCTATGTAATAATTATTTACATAAAAGTAAATAATTAATCCAGGTAAAATTATTAATAATTAAGTAGATAAACAAATTACTTTGAAATTTTGATTATTAAAATGATAAAAACACATTTTTTATTTTTTATAATGTTCTTTAAATTTGTTATCATTAATTAACATTTATCGAATACGTTTTTAAAATTTTTATATTATTATTGACAAAATATATAAATAAATTATTTTTATTAAGTATTAAATTTTTTATTATTATTAACATTTATTTATTATTATTTATATTATTATTAACATTTATCGAATAATAAAAACAAAGAATTAAAAAAATCATAAAAAAGGCTGACTGCGGTCAACGCGCGGTTGGACCGACGGTTGACCGCGGTCAGCCATCGACCCAACCGCGCGTTGACCGCGGTCGACCGTCGGTGCAACCGCGCGTTGACCGCGGTCGATTCGTACCTCCGGCGGCGGCGGGCAGGAGGCGACGGGCGGGCGGGTCGCGACGGGCGGGCGATGGGAGGCGACGGGGGGCGGCGGGAGGCGACGGTCGGGCGGCGACGGGCTGGCTGCGGGCGGCGGGCAGCGACTGACAGGTGGCCGGAGGTTGAGGGGACAGGTGGCCGGCGGTTGAGGGGAGAGTTGCAGAGGTGAGAGGAGTTGAGGGGGGAGGGGGAATGAATTTGAATTGTGAATAAGGGCTTGTTTGTTTTGAGTTTTTGCTTAAGGGCATATAGGTAATTTTACATTTAAGTTAGGACGACGTTTAGCAATTTTTAGAGCGACATTTAGCGATTCAGAAAAAATATATATATGGCGCTAAAATTAAAAATACATGCAGATGTGTAATGGGCTCACGAGAAGCCCAGTTCAAAGCCCATTGGATGCCTTACTTTTTGAATTTCTCGGACCTCAGCGCATGACGACATCAAATGTTCTCCTTCCTTATCTTCCTCCTCTTCTTCATTCTACTTGAAACTAGTCGTGAGCAGAGCAAGCAACGATGAAAGGACTTGTGCTCCAATGGAGTCCCTACTACCGCCACCAGAACCCCCTCGCTCCTCCGGGATCGTTTCATTTCAATCGCCTATCTATCCCGAGAAGCAAACGGATACAGCCGACGGTGATCAGAGCGACGCTTGATTCCGGGACGACGGAAGAAGTACAACAGCAGCTGACGGCGAGAGACAGGAGGCAGCTTCGGAACCAACGGCGGGAGAGCAAATCAGGACACAGCTGGAGAGAAGAAGTGGAAGAAAGGCTTAGCAAGAAGCCTAAGAAGGAGAACACGAGGAAGCGAGACGCTCTCAGCATCGATCGCCTATCTCTGTTGGGCCCGCAGTGGTGGGTCTTTCGGGTCTCCCGAATTCGGGGCCACGAGACCGCCCAGCTCGTCGCCCGCTTGCTCGCCCGGAACTACCCGGATTTTGAATTCAAGGTCAAATCTAAAATCCCTCCGTTTGGATTGAATTGAAGGAGAATTATGTTTGTTTATTGGTTCTGCTTTTGTGGTTTTCAGGTTTATGCACCGTCTGTGAAGGAGAAGAGGAAATTGAAGAACGGTACGTATTCGATCAAGCAGAAGCCTATATTTCCAGGGTGTGTGTTCTTGTGGTGTGTATTGAACAAAGAGATGCACGATTTCATATTTGAAATCGACGGAGTTGGTGGATTTGTAGGTGCCAAAGTCGGATATATGTGAGTTGTTTAGTTTCCTCCCTTTAAGCTCTCTCCTCGCCGTGTTCACGTCGACGAAATTGATCAAGTATATACAAGTTGGATAAGCTACATTTCAATGTCTTGCATTAGTCAAAATGTAGTTCCAACTCCAAGTGAATCACAATGCACTAGCATATCCTTATAATGGGCCTGGTTTTATGAATTTGTTTCGGAGCAGGGCGAGAAGATTCAACATCCCTAGGCCAGTATCCGAGGATGACATAGAAAAGCTCTTCAAACAGGCAAAGGAGGAACAGGAAAAACATGACAAGGCCTTTGAGGAACAAGAGCAGCAGCAGCAAGCGGGAGAAGGGAAAGGCTTGACAAAGGTAGACGGCAGTGATGTTGTGAAGTCTGGTGCAGATTCCAAGCCGAAGAGGGGAACCACAAGAGTTGGAGACCCTGTTGTCAATGGATCGATCAAGAAAAAGGGTAGCAAGCGGCTGGCTGCTGGTTCGAAGGTTCGGGTTAAATCTGGGACCTTTGCAGAATTTGAAGGCAGCCTTAAGAAAGTACATCGCAAGACCGGAAAGGTAAACCTTCACCGTCTTGTCATTAGCTTAACCGTGTAGGCCTTAACGAGCCTAGACTGGTTTCGCTTTCCAAATGTTAATAGTTGGGGAATGATTCACTTAACTACACAGGTATAGGAAATTTCTAACGGACTGGATAGAGTTAGTTGAATTAGAAGGGGCCAGAGCTAACTTAGAGGGAGGACTGCTTAACATGATTGAAGATGGTTTGTTATTGTCACAAAGGCGTTGAACATCTCATATGATTTTTGTCTAACTATTGAGGCATTGTTATGTTGTTGCAGGCAACAGTTGGCTTTACACTATTTGGTAAAGAGACTTTAGTAGAACTAGATCTCCATGAGATTGTATCAGAAACAGAATGACAGTAAAGAGACGGCTTCTCTCCGTCTTTTGAGCAGGGTAAGTACCTCCATTTTGTTAGTAATGTTAGCAGCATTTCTTCCTTGTGGCAATCTACAGTCGATGCACCAGATTTTTCTTTCGTGGATCACTGAATGACAGAACTCAAAACAACCTACAACGCAAAGTAGTGGAGAACGAGGTAAGATAACCAAAAATACACTACCAGAAGTTCTTTTCTAACGTGTCCATCTATACACTACCACCACTAGTAGTTCTTTCCTAAATTATTACAACTATTCCCTTTTGGTAGTGGGGAAAAAGACTTATGGAACAGATTGTATGGTCAGTGAACCAGCATCTAAGATCCAGTTAGTATGCAAAGTGAAATTTGCAGCTAGGCCAAGACCATATTTACCTCTGAGTTGGCACGTCCTATGATCTGATGATGTGCAGACCTTTCATTCTCGGTGGAAATCTGAGTGATGCCTAGGATTATTAGCATTGTAAGCTTCTCTCTCTCTCTCTCTAGCTTATAGGATCATTTACTTGTTACTTTCTCGTTCTAGGTACTGAATGCTTGTTCTGAATTTCTTTGACAAGTGTTGGGTTGGATGCTTGAAAATGCATTTGCGAGGTGAGGCTGATGTGTAGTGAAACCATCTAATGAACCGAATACGGCCATAAACCAGAAATGCATTAGTCAAATAAGGGAGCAACTCTATATGCAGCAAATCCAATGTATCAGTTCGTAACATTGATTTCAGGGGCCATGATTGTGCATTTAGGAGGGTGGATTGTGCGTTTTGCAGTCAAAGAAGAGCTAGTAATACATAATTGCAACACTCTATCTGAATAATTGTCAAAAACAACAAGCAAAAGGAAACACTATTTGAAAATGCGTTCAAAGATGTATCGTAGAATGACATGGATTTGGCTCGGGAATTGTTTTTTATGCTTTAAAGGTTCAAATTTTGAAAATTGAAAAGTATTTTTTATTTATAACATAAAAGTATAAGTTTCGATTTGAAACTTCTGTTAAAAACTGTTTTCAACATACAAGATATTTTAATATCTATGCCAATTTTTTTTTAAAAAGTCGAGAAAACTTATTTTTCTTTCATTTGTGTTATTTTAAAACAAAATAAATTAGAAAGTTATATTAGTTAATATAAAAAAATTAGCAAGATTTATTTTGTTTTTTTAAATTTTTACTCATAGTTTATATTAAAAATATTTGTTATCATTTTATATGACCTATGATATTAAAAAGTAGGGTATGCCTATGGTGACTTGTAAGTTATCATGACTGGGAAAAAATGGTCGACCAGAAAGAAGTCGTGGTTAAAGACCCAAAATGGCCTTTTAGGCCCCTAAAAAAATAAAGAGATGCAACCCTTAGGGCTAAAAATTTTGTTTCGTATTAAGTAATTCTAACTTATGAATAATAAAATTATGTTTTTTAATTTAAAATTTATACATTCGGTCACGATAATTCGATACAAACATTCCGATAAATTTTGAATAATTCGAAGATACTTTTGTCTTAGTTGAAATGGAAGAAAGTTACACCGAAATGAACTTCGTTCATCAAAATTTCCAAGATTTTCGACCAAATTCCGAGATACTTCTGTTTTTAGTTGAAATGAGCGAATGTTCCAAATTTTAAGTATATTTATTTTCTTCAAATAGCAATCGAACGGTCGAAAGTTACAACAAAAGAAGTTTCGTTGGTTTAAAAAACACACACATGGCAGAGGATAGGAACTAGGACTAGGAAGCGGAGATGGCCAATTCATGCACACACTAGTAGGGCTGGGAAAATAGACCAGACCGTTAGAAAAATCATGGCCCAAACCGTACCACACAGTTTGGTCCGGGCCGTAGACCGTTAAGTATGGTCTGGTCTGTTCCATGGTCTGTATTATTTTATGTTTTGATATATTGGTCTGGTCTAGACTGTTGTTTGCCGGACCAAACTGTGGACTCAATCGACTTGTCAATACGTGTTAAAAGCACATTCGACCACTCTCCTAACTCCCACAATGACACCCAAGTCTCAACCTTAGTTTTGTGAATCTGGTCCCTCCTTTATTAACAACCACATTTAACCAGACTGTAGAGATAATTGTGTCTCCATATGACATTATGTTAATGTTTATGGCGTTATGGTGCAAGTTGGGATGCTTTTACTTTGTATCTTTGTTATGTACTAAGATTTAGGATATCAAAATTCTTCATGCATGTTAGGATTAATGTTTTGAGCATGGTCCATGAAATCGTACCGCACCAGCGGTTCAACTACGAAATACCAATATCGAAGGCTAAATCGGTAGGCGGTATTTAACGGTCTAACGATTGAACTACGGTTAAACCACGGTTTTAACTTTTACCATAAAATACCATATCGCTTACTTTCCCGGTACGGTTTCATGGACCATGGTTTTGAGGCAAATAACAATTATTTTTCTTGGTTATTGGTTCAATTTTTTGTGTGGCTGACTAAACAAATTATTCATTTTTCGTTGAGTGTGGTCTATCTGAACGAGACCAGACCAAATTAGACCGCACAGGCGTGGTATGGATCGGACCTTATAGTCTGTGGTCTGATCTGTGGTCTATACTTCAACCTCTTGGTCTGGATCATTAAGCGTATATATGGTCTGGTCTAGACCAGACTGCACCGTTTTCTAACCGTAAATCATTCTAGCGTTGATTTTTTATTTTGTGTTGGAGATGATGAACCTGGCTAGGCATTGCTTCATTTACAACCCCAAGCCATAAAATATACGCATGATCGATCCGATCCAGAAGCCAAAGGGGAAGGATTGGTGGTCCTATAGTTTTGGTTGTGGCCTTTGCCTTGCCGTGCCCGTGAACCACGTTAAGGCCTACCAAAAATTAAATAAATGCCAAGGCACTATTACTATAGCCCCAGCCTGCTTCCTTCCACAATCAGTATACGGTCTGGTCTTTATCTAAACTTGGCTAGCTTTTAGGCTTGTTGCCCTAAAAAAATCCAAGGTGACGCCTCTCTCTATCTCTCTCTCTTTCTGTCCATGAGGACGGCTAACTTTCTCTCTTTTCTCCTCCTGTCTTTCTCTACGGGGGTGGAGGCATGCAACCTGTCTAGTCCTAGTCGACCACACACACTCACCATGGATTGGGACGGGTCGGGTCGTTAACTTGAACGTGCAATTGTTGATTTGGGTAGAGGAACTAGGAAGCTCCCGTTGTAAGATACATTTTTAGCAAACTATAATTATGTATTGCATATTGCCTACTATAAGATTTTTTTTTTTTTTTTCATGATGGAGAACTCTTACTTACGGTCGTCATATTGAGTGACAACGCAGACACTGCTCGAATATAAGGGTCAGGGGGTTGTGGGAAGGCAGGCCAGGGCATACCTACCCGTCGAGGATGGTTAACACCAAGTTTCTTCACCGAGGATTAATGAGTCACTCGGTTTAGCCTGAAAAATATGGAAAGAGTCATTATATTGTATTTATCCTGATAAATTATATCAATTCTCATCTAACATATGAGTTATAACATATAATATTCCACCAAAATAACATGTTGTACTTAGATCCAACATATAGTGAAAATTCATACACACTTATATAACATATATATTCAAATGTTCAACTTAGAATTCCAAAGATTGAGTTATGAGAATATGAAAATCAGAAATTAGGCGCACTTCGCAAACCAAAGAAAAAAATGACACAATTTGACCTCCAGCCCGATGCTTTGTAGCGGTCGTTCCGGCGTGTGCATGCGGCTCGTTTTTCTCACCTGGCCAGGGTCAAAGTCGACAACCTTGCTATATGTATATGCTCCTAAGCCGCCATAATTTCGTTTAAAAAATTAATTTAATTGTACAAAGTGAATTTGTATTTTTGACGTCATTGAAGGTACAAATTTAAACATATTTTTTTTACAAATTTATTAATGGTGGTACAAATTCAATTTGTATCTATATATTTTACAACAAATTCTCTTATACGATAAAAGAAACTTGTTATCTTCAAACATGATGGCACAAATTCAACTTGTATCTTAGAACAATGATGATGTATATGAGCATGGTTTAAAATTCAGATGTATGAATATCTGATTACACAATCAATTGTCTATATATCCAGATCATATAGGCCTTGACAACAGAGGAAGAGAGAGAGAGAGGGGGGGGGGTCGTGAAGCAGTAAATTCAATGGGGTTTGTTTGGTGACATGAGCATTTAACGGAGTCAGTTTATACCCAGAAATTTAATGCGACTTTTGGTACAATGTACCAACTCACACAGTGTCAGTGAGTGAATTTAATACGCAGGAGGGAAAGGGAGATAGCTGCAGCAGAGGCAGGCACATGAGAGATTTGGGCCAAGTGGAAGGTTCTTCTTCAAGCAAAGCCAAAGCCAAAGCCAAAGCCAAGCTGACCAACCGACCTTACACATTGAAGCTACCCTCCTTCCTATATCCTAGGATGGCAAAAATATCAGTAACCGTGGATATCCACCCGAATCCGACCTAATCGGGTAGGGTAAAACCCGAATCCGAAGCATTTTTCGTGGGTACGGGTAAAACCCGAACCCGAATATTGCGGGTAATGGGTGGGCTTGGTTATCTCACTATCCAACCCGAACCCGCCCGATTATACACATGCATATGTATTTTGTCTAGAAATAATCATTATGTTTCTCTAGACTATTTTATATTTAGTACATAAATATAATATTTTCATGAAATTATGTTGTTTTAATTAATTTTCGTCATTCTAGTGAATTATTGTCGTACTTTTCCTCTTACGTAAAGTGAGTATACGTGTGAATGTTAACATATTGGTTGGAATTATAAGGAGAAATTATTACCTATGGATAACCGTGGATACCCGAAACCCGAATGGGTATGGGCATGGTTTTTATTTTCTACCCGTTTCTCGTGTGGGTACGGGTATGAGTAAAACCCGAACTACATTGAGTAGGGTAACGGATATGCACTATCCGCCCCCGACCCGACCCATTGCCATCCCTACTATATCCTGCTTTTTTTCAATTTATAAGCAAATGAAGGTGAAGGGCAGTGGTGGATGTGCAGGCAGGACATCATGGGCCATCCCTCCAACTACAGCTGTTGAGATTACCTAAACACACATACGACAAAACACAAAAGCACGCGCACACTTGTAGTGTTTTCTTTCCCCCCTAAAATCAATAGAGCTTGCTTTTCCTTTAAAAAAATTCAATAGAGCTTGCTTGCTTGATAAAGTAGGCGCACTAAACTAATGCTCCCCCCCCCCCCCCCCCCCCCCCACCCAACCCTATTACCACCAAATGAGGTTATATTGAGGATTCGGCTCATATGACGTTCGGGAGTTAGTTTGACTAAGTAGCTCATCGGATTCTACTAGTGAGTTGGCTTAACAGTACTGGTTTGCGAGTCAGTTCGTCTAGGGACTTATGTGCTTATATATATGAGTCAGACTGGTGTACGTACACCTGGAGTATACTATATTCCATGTACTTTTAGCGAGATATCACTATCTAGACCGTGAATTAAACTAAGTTTGGGGCTTGATACTATACCCTAACTTCTAATGGCTAAACCCAAGGCCTCGATTCGCTAAACTCAAACCCGAAGTTCAATTTAATATAAAATATTAATTGACCGTTGAGATTGGTCGGATCTCAGAAGAAGAGATCTAATGGTCATATCACATGGAGTATGGTATACTCCTGGAGTATGGTATACCAATCATTACCATATATACCGTAGAACTCCCCACATATATATGGTGCCTTCTACGGTACCCCAGGTGAAATCCATGGTACCGCATACCTTGCGTATGAAAACGCTATCTAGACCTCGAATTAGCAGGATTTTTGGGCATGATACTATACCCTAACTCTTAATGAGTGAACCCTAGGTCCTAATTATCTAAATCATAAACTATACACCCTAAGATGGTGCATTGTTTTTTTCCCTATATTTGGACGAATCATAACCGTCGATTATTAATTCTAATTAAATTGATCTTGGGGGTATAAGATTTAGAAAATTAATACCTAGATTTTGATCTTTAAGGGTTAGATTATAGTATCATGTCCGTAAGATCAGTCAATTCAAGTTCTGGATAGCGTTTTCTTACTCAAGGTATGCGGTACCCCGGATTTCACCCTGGGTACCGTAGAATATATATATATATATGGTTCAGGCTAGCGTACGTCAGTCGTACATTGTACGCCCGTCGAGTTTTACTATTTAGAGCACGATTTAACCAAAGTTTGGGAGATGATACTATACTCTAACCTCTAATGAGTGAACCTCAGTCCCTAATTCCCTAACCCAAGCCCCAAGATCCATTTAATCTAAAAAAATAATAACCAACGATTCTGATTTAGCGAAATATACTGAAGTGCAAAAACAAAGTGTGAACACAGACATATATATATATATATGGGTCAGACTGGCGTACGTCAGACGTAAACTATGCGTAGGTACTACTAGTGAGATATCTCTATCTAGACCATGAATTAAATCGAGTTTAGGGTATGATACTATACCCTAACCTCTAATGGATAAACCCCATACACCAATTTTCTAAACCCCAACCCGAAGTTTGATTTAATGAAAAACAAAAATTAACCGTTGAGATTGGTCGAAGTTTGGGGTATGATATTATACCCTAATCTCTAACGGGTGAACCCTAGTCCCTAATTATCTAATCCAAATTACAAGATTCATTTAATCTAAAAAAATAATGACCGACGGTTCTGATTTAGCAAAATATATATGCGGTGGCTTCTACGGTACCATATATTTGTTAGTATATCTCGTAATATATGATGGTTTAAGACTTTGACTACGTGTCCAACTATGCCACATTTATAATTAAAAAGAAATAATGTATTATAAAATGCTTAGTTAGTAATTATTATATAATATATTATGGATTAATTAAAAATTATGAATGACATTATATTACACAAAAACATGAGATTAATTAGTGAAGAAAAATGGTTAAATACACTTGTATATCCAAAACTTTCACGGTTGTGCCAATAATATCCAAATTTTCCGAAATACCACTTATATCCAATTCCTTCGCATTCTTTAACGGTGTTTTTGGATATACAAGTGTATTTAACCAAAAATATATTGGAAAATGGATAGATTTGGCAAAGAACAACTTTAAAACATGGATATAAGTGGTATTTTCAGGAAATTTGGATATTATTGGCACAACCGTGAAAGTTTTGGATATACAAGTGTATTAAACCAAGAAAAATTAACTATTATTTTTCCATTAACCACATGTATCAGTATTCAAGTTATAAATTATTTAGAGTTTAATTAAAGGTTCAACCATTTAAACTTATAATTGAGCTTAGCCATGAGCTGATTTATGAGCCCAACTCGAGTAGCTCATGAGCTCCTTAATGATCCAAGCTCAAGCTCAATCTCGACACTTTCTTAATGAGTCAAGCTCAAGCTAAGAAAAAATTCGGTCCAGCTAGGCTCATTAAGAAACAAATCGAGCTCAACCTTAGCAAAACTTGGCTCGACTCGATTATATGTAGTCGTCTTATCTTTCCCTTGGCGGTTGCAGCTGGGAGCAGCAGCACAGGAGTACGAGTACCACTAGACATAGAAATTGGTAAAGTATTGTCATCCCGATACCACATATCGCAATCTCGAATACCAAATTACACCTTAAAGTCAATCCAAAACCCAATCTCGAAAGAAATTGGTATCTCAATCTCTAAATATTTTGATATCCCAACGTAATTAGCGAATACGAAATTAATTATCATTGCAATAATAATTATATGTATATAAATCATAGTTAGAACACCCCTAATCCCGAGCATTTTATAGATTGTAGATTTGTCGGTTTAACTTCGTGATTGGAAATTTTGGTGATGAGAATTTGAGGTGGTAAAAGTCTAAAGCAAACTCATCGAAGTCCTTATTGTTGGATTTCATTAAACCTTCATTGAACTTATTCATTATCGGTTTCTATTTAGAGTAAAGAGACTAGAAAAGAGTCTCCAATATGCTTAGAACAAGGAGATGGATAAGGAAAAGGGAGGAGATGGTGATATCTCAATTTCTTGTTGTTGGAAATCTTTAATTCGAAGATTGGAGCTGAGAGACAACTAATGAGAGTGTCTACTTTTTAGCATTACAAGAGTGACTTAAATTGTAAAGTCAAAATTGGGTGGGATGGGGGTTGTGAGCTGTCAAAGAGTGAGAAAGGACCAAAGATTGTGTGCTATATTTCATTAATTTTCAATTTTTGCTATTTATCTGTGTTTCTCTATATACCGATCCTACTACCGTATTTCCCAATACCAAATAACACTCCAAAATGAATCTTCATCCATAAAAATATTTCATTGCTCGATAATACCAAATAGTGATGAATAATGTACGATATTAAGTATATCCCAAATGCCGGTACCAAACTTTCATACCTAAGTACCACATTATCGCTAAATCATCTTGTCACTAAGCATACTAAATATAAAGAACAAGAGGATTTGACGCGATTTTCTTGAATGTCATTACTACTCCACAAGAGAGATAGCACTCTCCAAAGCAAACTCTTATTACTCTCACATTCTACAGTTTACAAATGATACATATTTATATGTTTGCTAGGACAAACCCGCATACAAGTTGGCTGGTATATTACAGGTTGGTACTCATACTTTATAATTTAGTACCATCCCTCAAATTGATGTTGGGTGCACAACTTCAATTGTGATGATAAATACAAATATCTACAAACATTCATTGCCTTGATTATTAGATATGTCGACTGTTCTTATGTAGACAAATAACCAACCTATATTGTGCCTTCTGCAACCAACTGTCGT